CTCTCCGCCGCTGCCTAGAACAACAAGGCATTCGCACCGTCTTCAAGTCCGACACGACACTTCGGTCACACTTAGTGCGACCAAAGGACACCGTCAACGATAATACACTTTATTATTGCATCTACCACGATGAATAACAACAACCTTTTTCTCGACAAAGTTTGTGTTGTTAACTTGCTGGCTGCCATTTTTGGCGACCGAGGGATCGAGGCGTTTAGAGAAAAAGGTGAATGAAACACAGGTATCAAAAACTGTGTTCAGCCACCTTAAGGTCGGCGCCTACTTTTGTTTGGAGCACACATTCCGCGCATCACGCAAGGCATGGTTTAATCCTTACGCGCGCGCTAGGGTTTACATTGACGTAATCAATTATGCTACCAAGTGCGCCACCAAAATGAAAGCAAAATTTTCGTAGCGCGACCAAATCAAGTTTAATGAGCCTGTATTAATACCAGAAATACCAGAATAGCGGCATATCGCTAACCACTGACTGTTAACGGCTTCCAGGTGAAAAACTAGCTTCTATTTGCCGAAAATTATACTGACATTTACCTGCATATGGTGTAGTGCGCGCGCAAAACAAGTGTGAATGGAAATGACAAGCCTATTCAACACGTGATTAGTTTCTGGTTGTGAGGAAAAGGTATTTAGACTATTTTAGATGTACCAGAGGAAGGCTGCCAGAGACGCTAAGAGCGCTGTTGTAACGATTTTGTTATTAAAAGCATACCAAAACTTCACATGTGCTGGCTGTAATGCCTGCTACATGGGTGAGATTTGTACACGTGTCCACGAGCACCTTTTGTCGGACAACGCTTCTCATGTTTGCAAGCATTTGCAGTCATCAGGAACTTGTCGTGACTCATGCTCTGCAGAATCTTTCACGATTCTAGATTTTGCCGCCTCGAATTTTCAAGTTAAGATAAAAGAGGCGCTGTATATTAAGTGGGAAATTCCAACTCTAAAGTGTATTAAGTGGGAAATTCCGACTGTAAACAACAGCTGAGGCACTTAAATTTCTCTTTCTTTTTAATTCTTCTTCATGTTTTGTTTATTTTATTTAATTTCTTGATTCTGTTTCAACTACTGTGGCTCACGCGCAGCCTTTGTTCCCAGTGTATTCCAATATTCAAATTGTTAACGTAAATTTTATGGCGTAATTCCATAACGCAATCATGTATGCAGTGAAAATTCAAATGCACAACCGTCGAACATTTGCAACTGAAGATGACATAGGAATGTCGAAACATGTTTTACAAAGTGAAAAATGTTGTTTCCTTTTTAAAAATTGCTGTTAGTCTGCGTTTTTACGATACCAAAAATGGTTTTTACCATTAACCATGCAGTTTTAAAGCCTTTATAAATGTTTGTTTTTCTGTATGTAAAGGTGAATTCTAAGGAAATCTGTGAAGAAATATCCTTTCCTTCTATTTTCAGAAAAATGCTGATGTCAGCATTTTTGTTGAGATTCAAGGTTGATTATCTCGAAAAAATGCATGGCTACTCCCATTTTTCTTTGTGGATTCCGGCCCTTACAAAGATCTACTTTTCCCGTATGGTCCTAATCTGGCGCAAAAACCTTCGTATTTAGTAGGCACCTTCCTTAAAGCATAAAATTAGCAACGCAAGATGCCTAATAAGGAAAATGTCAGACTTCGTTTAAGATTGCTTATCCTTCAATATAAAGCCAAGAAATGCATTCACAGGCAGAACAACGTCCAAAATGTCAAATACCAAACCAGTGGATAGTGCTATTTACGCTTTCTCTCAGCTCGAGAGGGCCGTAAGCAAACTGGATTCTTGGTTTCCAACCGCAAATGACAAAGAAATATTAGTAGTCTACGAACCAGCCGTCCCTACTAACACGCAAAAAACTACAAAATTTGGCTTGGAAGTATTTAAAAATACAGTTTTAATGTATAGATATAGCCGAGCTTAAAAGCGGAGCTGCTGGGCCGGGTTGTTCGAAGCCTGATTGAGCTAACCCAGGATAAGTGAGAATTTTGATTTGATTTTTTTTAAACTTCGCGGTAAGGTTTTCTGCTTACATTGTTTGGCCTTCTGAGTTTGAATAATCTCAAATTACACAAAACATAAGCCGTGAAAAACATTTTTATACAAGAAAAGTATATTTCAGTTAACTCTTAATCCTGGGTTAGCATTAACTGGCTCAGTTCCGAATAACCCGGCCCTGATTCGGGTTGTTGGTTTGAGCCCGCGATTCAAAGGAAAAGCCGGCATCTGGTCAGCGTTTAATTTCAAAGCTCAAAGCTTGAGCTCGTAATATGGCCAAGTAATACTGGTCAGCGGATACCGTGTTTTGACAGGTGTCAACTGACCATAAAACAGATGTCCAATATCAAAGATGTATGCTCTTAACTGAGGCTGCATGTCTTATAAGCTGGAGTATGGCCTCCATGTTGTGCGACGTCGTCGTCGTCGTCGTCGGCATCGTCATGCGTACACGAGCAATACCGCTAGCCATTTTTACCATGAGAAAAACGATTCATGGGTTTCTATGAGCATGGAGCTCCGGCGCCGGAGCTTCCCTATTAAATTAATTCGTACAGTTATTGAAGACAACCGACACAAAACTATTTGTTTACAATTGAAAATTACGGCCACTTTGACAAAGGAACTGAAAAACATGTTTTTTAATTAAATCTTTTGGCCCTATTTTTGGTTTAACCTTTCAATTCAACTTAACATGTAGGTGGATGGCATAGGTACGGTTAAGTCTGCACACGAGGCAAGTAGCCCATCAGGCCGGAGCTTATCTCCGATTTCTGTATCATGAAGCCAGTAGGAGTATTTCTAGTCCCCTGGATGGGATGATAGTCAATCGCGGGGCTACCCCCAGCATTACGTTCGCCGGCACTCATTTATACACTTGGGTGGAGAGAAGCACTGTGCGAGTAAAGTATCTTGCCCAAGAACACAACACAATACCCCCGGCCAGGACTCGAACCCGGACCGCTCGATCTGGAGACGAGCGCACTAACCATGAGGCCACCGCGGATGGCATAAGCAAGGTTTAATTTTGAAGTCACGCAGCGCTAACATGAGACGAACTAAATATATAATAGAGTTAACTTTGTATAAATTTTGTATGCTAGAAATAGCCATGCTTTCTTCTGGCCATGTCAGTTCTCTGATTTCCAGCTCGACTGTATCATGGTCTATTTAGACAACTTTCACTCGCGATATTCATGCGACATGAATTCTTTCAAATAAATTAGACCTGTAATGTGCTCACGACTGTCGCGTCAGAATCGTGAGCGTGTAAAAGTCCAAATCTTTTTGTAGCCATGTTCATGCGATAGTCGTAGGCAGAAATGAGAACGTTTAATTGGATGCTTACGCATTGCCCTCCAATTTATATATAAATAAGCGGACGGAGAACCAATCAGAAACGAAATTTTTTTTATTAATATATCGATTGGATTGAGTGGGATACAATTCAGGGAGTGATTGGCCGGATGATGAGCGAGATCACTTTCTGTATTTTACCGTCCATTTAGTGATAAATTAGATCCATACTTTGCGGGAACGGTTCTTTTGGTGAATAGGATCGTGGTGTGATATGTATCATCGGTTCAATTGACGTGAAAATGGTATAGGTGTCCAATTTGATCATTACAATTAAAAAATTGACGGCTATAATGCTACACCCGGTTAACATAAGTTAAATAATAATACGAACCCCTTATTGACATCCAGTATGATATCCCTCGGCCTAGACAGATCACTTGTCACAAGCGCTGTCCGAAAAGACCCGTCAAGTTTGGAAACCTCCAGCTTGTTACTGCTCTCATCGGTCCAGTACAGATTTCTTCCAACAATATCCACTGCTAATCCATTTGGATATTTGAGCTTTTTGTTAATGATAACCTCTTGTGAGGACCCATTTAGAAATGATCGGGAGATGGTCCTCCTGAAGACATCTGTCCAATACACTCTGTGTTCTACGTCATCATACGCCAGTGCAACTGGACGGTTAAGGTTACTTAATGGCAAAGGAGTGAGAGATCCAGGGCTTTGTGGAGTAACTTTCATGATCTTCCCATTTGTGTAATCCGCAACCAGCAGGAACTGTGGAGAAACTGAGAAAAGACATTTGCATGTAATAATGGAGTTTTTCCCCCATCTATTTATGACCCAAACGCGAAACGCGCGGGCCATAAATCGAAGAGGAAAAACGAGGATCCGTAAATTATAGTACGGACCGAGAAAACGAGATTAGCAATATTTTTATTATATCGCTACTGTGTGTCTGACGGGTTCGAGAACGATTTCTATTCACACGGAACGGCTTCAAATTTCTGACGCACCTCGAAAGCTAAACAACAATCATGAACAAAAGCAGTTGGGACACTCCCCGAAAAAGACCTGTTTCGTTGAACGGGTGAGTTTTTCAATCCCCAATTTTCATATTTCGACCCCCTCCCCCCTTTCAATGTTTTAGCCACGTGACAGTGTCCACGGAGCGTATTTCAACATTGAAAAGGGGGAGAGCGGGCCTTGGCTATCGACAAAAAAGATGTTTTTTTGAAATGCCGGAAGGACGCCGATAGAAAGCGTTTGTTTTGCTCAAATGTGTCAACACTTTTGTCCATGATTGTAGTCAACAGAAAGTTTTAAACTTTTACTTGCTAGAAAAAGTTAAGAGCACTTGGTGATAAATCACGAAACATTTTGGCAACAAAAACAGCTTAAAGTGTAGCCGGCCGTACGGTAGAATACGGCACGCTAAATTGACCAATCACAGCGCGCGTACTAACTGAGAGATATAATAATACATCTCATGGTTTGGCAATAACGCGGGTATTTAAAAAGTCAGGTAGTATTACTCCGAGTCTCGCGAGGGTAGAGTGGCTAATGGGGCGTTGCATCGTTTGCGGTGAGCAAGTGTTTGACAAAAACCGTTTCGAAAACTGGGCTAATTTGTTTTGCTGGTGCGGACGGAGCGCACACGGGGCGGACGGGGCGCACACACCTTGAAATATACTCGCTACATACCTTGAAATTAAATTCGCGTTCGTAAACTGTTGTAAGTCAATTAGACTTCCGTATGGCTTTTTTCACGAGCAAGAAAAATCAAATTTGCGATAAGAACCTGCTTATTATGCTATTTTCAGATCTGGCAAGTGACACGCTAATGAATGTTATTGAAAGCTAATGGACCGCGCTTGCAGGAACGTCACTTAGCCTATTAATATACTAACGAAGAACATTTAAAAGAACCAGCTATCGCCTCGTGGATCCACAGCTACTCTGACAAATCATTAGTACTATCAATAACAGACAATTTATTAATTTTAGTTTCTAATTTATTATCTACTGTATGTAAGACGTTATGTTGTATTTATACCTCATCCTACCTTTCTGGTACTATTCGGCACATATCAGGCGAGTTTGGTTGAGCCATGCCGAGTCATTGTGAGACCAAACGAGCCTGATATGAGTAATATACCACTAACCGCAAGAAAAGGTACGATTAATATTTACCGACCAAATTTTGGCCATAAACTTAGCTTTATCGGTTCAATGACCTGATATCACACGAAATCAGGACGGTACAATAGGCTTCTGTAATGCCTTGTAATGTGTTATGTTAGGTTAGGTTGTAATATTTCGTTTTGTGTGTGTGGAATAGGTTATTTCACATAAAATAGAAAATGTTATCTGGATAAACGCAGGTATAAAGTGGAGATTGACAATGTCCGGGTATAGATGGTTTTCACTGTCACGCAACGAAAAAATAAATCGAAAACTATTCAGTGGATAAAGTCAAGAANTTCGTCGAAATGTTTTGCGCAAATTTACAGAGCCCAGTATGGAGCCGCCATGTTGGTGGAGCTCTGTGCTCCACCTACATGGCGGCCGGAAAATAGTACAAACATCTGGAACTTACTTTGGCTATCTAGGTGACTGATTATCTGAACTGAACCAACAAACATTTACGCAAGCACTTTTCCTAACACTTTAACTCCTAAAAAGGCTAAAAATCATTAGATAAGTGTATATTTCTCAACAAACGCGATCGGAGTGGTATGTCACGCACCGACATAACTCTGAACTTCAAACGGCACTGGTTTCTAAACCAAGCACACTATTGAGCTTAAAAGTTGTAAACAGATTTAAGTTTAGATCCCCTTATGCCTGGTGAGGATAAAAATTTTCGTGGCTCTTTAGTTTTGGATTTTGGAATTTGATGACGTCACGTGAAAACGATCTATAAAGTGTACTGAACGATCATATGCCTTGCATACGGCTGGTGAGTCTGAAATTTGAATTGACCAGTCAGGATTCAGCAGGCGAGAAAAACCGTACAGTCCTGACGTCAATGTATGTTAACAGGAAAGGGCGACTTCAGGCAACTATTCTCATTGGAAAAGGTGTTAGAGAAAGCGTTGAATATTTACGAAAAAATTCCAAACACCGTATCAGATTGTACGAAGTGAAAAATTCAACCTTTTAAGTTGGCGCCAAAAATATGTCCCCTGCGTCCGGCAACGTGCTCATCACCCGCGGAGGGTCGCAACGTAGGTTAATAGTTGTGGAACATAAAATGTCGTTTCATGTCAAACCCAGAATTCTCGAGATAAGTATGTGGGTTATTCCCCGGTCAAATTATGTATACTTAATTTCCTTTAATATTACCGTAGCAAGTTTGTCCATCATCTCGAAGATCGAGACCATCTGAGCATGAACACTTTCTTCCAAAAGGCGTCAGCAGACAAAGCTGACTACATCCACCATTGTTATGATTGCATTGGACTGTGACTGAAAAAAAAAATATGAAAGATCATAAATTTTGCATGCTTTCTGTCTAGTGTTAGCGTTCTAGAGTACCCGGTTTTTTCGGCTCTCATTTTGCGCGCCGAGAAAAGACTGCGGAAGAAGCGCTGAAAAAAACCAGTACTATCGCGCGGTAGTCTTGCGTAAGGATGACATAATATTGTGACATTAAGAAAGTCTTCTTTCAATCCATTGTACTTTTGCTCAAAGTTCTTTTACGTTGTGGTCATTCTTTAGACTTATTGATGCATCGGTAAGTAACAAAAATGTACCTCACGTCAACCTTTCGCAAGCCAACTGATATGGCGATAGTGTTAGAGATATTCAAGAAGCCGAGCTTTACTGGTATTTATCAATTGTCAGTCTCAAATTGAAAAATACCTGGAATGAGGTCAATCTCTTTGTCATAGGCGCGAATTAACATAGGTCGAGATTGGGAAGAGTGGACTTTTTCTACGTTAAACCCCGTATGTCGATCCACTCGGTACACTCCATAATAAGACCAGTCAGTCCAGAAAAGATGATTCTCATGAAGCGCCAGCCCAAACGGATAACTTAGATAAGCTTCCTGATGAGAGGAGATTATTTCTCTTCTTTTGTTTGATGAAAACTCATACACTTCAATTTTATCATTATAAAAATCTCCCCAATAAAGCCAGTTCTTTGTTACATCCAGTGCAAGGCCGCTAAGAAAAGAGAATCTGTTGTCAGTTCCGAATTGAACAACCACTGTTCTGTTGCCACCATCCATGTCCGCTTTTTCTATTTTCGAATTGTAGTTCCAAGAGATCCAGTCAGTCCAATACATAAATCTGAATTTTAAAAAAATGTATAGTATATTAACTACACAAAGCAGAACTATCAAAACCACTTTGCCAAATGGCGAAAAGCCTTGTTAAAAACCAATATATGATTTTGTCTTTTCAAAGAACCTTGTCACCTACACAGTGACGGAATCATACCAGTACCAACCAAATGACAACCAAATCTCAAAAGTGTAAAGTTATGCTGAGAAATCCCATTATTTTCTGTCAAAAACTACCTGTTATAAACAACCTATTTAATTTGTAGACTTTCAGTGGTTTCTAGCCTTTACGTAGTAAAAGTACATCATTATTGACGAGAAAAAATCGTGGCAAAGGCGAATACAGTGGAACCCCTTAATACGGACACCAAGGGGACATGCCAAAGTGTCCGAATTATTAGGGTGTCCATATTAAGCGGGCTCTCAGATCTAAAGTCAAGGACTCGTATTTTATCGATAAAAAGACTAAGGCAGATATTTTTACGGCAACAAAATGTTTAAATTGTACTTTAGCCTTAGTAAGTTTAAAATACGGAAACCTGTTTTATGTTTATTAAAACAACCGAACTCAACATATGCATCACAAGTTGCCTATTTTCATTTTTAAAATGACTCGCTTAGCAAAACAGATACCGCACTGTAATTGGCTACCCTTAAGAAGAGTGTCAAATATAATTAGACTTTCAGTGATCTACTCACTTCTAATGTAATATAAACTTGTTGGCGATTTTTTTTCGCGTGAGGATCGATAGCTTATTCAGAATATTTTGCTTCCTCACAGACTAACAACATTGAATCAGATTATAGAACTTTCATACCCTCTCGTAACGTCCAGGACAATATCTTTTGGACTTTGCAAGTTTTCTCTAACAAGGACGCTTCGATATAGTCCATTCAAGGATGCAACCTCAATCAGTCGTTCACTGCTGTCCGTCCAGTATATGTTTTGACCAAATGAGTCGACAGCAAGTCCATAAGGTGTCTCGAGTCGAGCTGAGACTATGGTTTCCAGATTGGATCCGTTCAGAAACGCGCGGGAGAGATTGTGTCCAGATCCGTGTCTGTCCAGTAGACTTTTCGGTCAATAAAGTTGTAGTCCAGGGCTGTGGGACTTGAGATATTTTCCTTATTAATAGGAATTCTAAAAGGAGTTGTGCTATAATTCAATGGCAGCTGCTTCAGGCTGCGTCCCTCGGCAAAGAGAAGAAATTTTGAGAGATCTGAAATTGAAGTAACGCCCGGTTTAAACGTCGCATTTTACATGCACCGAATCTAATTGCTGAATTAACTACATGTAAAATGCGACGTTTTAATCAATTAAGTGCGACATATTTCAATTAAATGCAAGTTCAGTCGAATATTCGACTGATCCAGTCGAATATACGACTGAAGTTCGACAGTTGATTTAAACGCCGCATTTTACATGGGCCGAATCTAATTCATAAATTATGTTAAATTATATTTTACCCATAACTCCAAAGTTTTGTGCTGCATGACATGCGCACAACAAGCTGAAGGGAATTTTTGGCGACAGATGCAGCAGGAGATGTATCATGTAGAAGGAAGGCAGTTGCAGACACCAGTATGTGGGGTTCTTGCTTCGCTCCGATCGTGTAATGTAGTTATGCAACACCAATTAAACTTAAGTTTAGGCCTTCAAGCAAAAACCGCTCTGTGTTACATGACATGCGGAGCAGGAAAGTAATATGGCGACTGTTGAGTATAATAGTGTGTGCGGTGGTTCTTACTTCTCTTTAGCAAAGTTATGTAGAAGATGGAGAGCGAGGTCTATGAACTTGAATTTGAACAGGAGGGTGAAATGAAAACCAGAGTTTAAGAGGTAATGCACTGCCATGTGCATTATAAATCGCCCCATTCTGTTTGCTCGGATGGTGGTTTAAAGGTATCAATGATCTTAACGCAAAATGTGCTCCTTATCATTGTGAGCCGCATTGGTGGGAAACTTGGAGCGGAGTCAGTTGGGAATGAACACGTCGCTCGCGCTCAGCAATTTTATTCGGCAAAAAAACGCGACGTTTAAATCAAATCAGCCGAACTTATTCATTCGAGTCGACTAAAATTAGTATTTGATTCAGCGCATGTAAAATGCGACGTTTAAACCGGGCCTAAGTGATTAATGATAGCAAATAAAATCTAATAATGCATTGACGTGGCTTTAAGGATACTGGTGGAAATAGATTTAGAGATGAAGGAAATGGTGTCCTTTCAAAAATGGATACGGATGACTGTGATATAGCAAGAGCTAAAGCCTTCATTTTTCACTTTTCCTTAGCGTAAATCCCGGAGGGGGGAGGGTAGTCCCTTGTATGGAAAATGTATTTAGCACTGTTGTGCTAATTGGGGGCACTGTGAATAAATGAAAACAATAATGCAAATAGAAAGGGATCCATGTCGAGGATATGAAATATATGGAGCAGCGTATTCGTCACGTCTAAAGAAAAGCAAAGTTTAAATTAAAGGCGAATGATAAATTGATGAAAACAAAACGTTTTTACCTGTTTGACAGTTTTTTCCATCCGATAACAATAGCAAACCATCCGGACAGGCACACGAAAATCCATCAGGCGTCAAAAGACATAAGTGACTGCAGCCTCCATTGTTTACTTTGCATTGCTGGTTTCCTAAAATGTAACTGAACTTTATGACTCGATGAAGGTTAGATCACATTACGTGATAGAGAGTTTGATATAACATATGAAGAAACATCATTAACAATTAGTCAAAAATAGCCAAAACTAACGAAAGAAAACAATGGAATTAGTGTCTAATAGTATGTAACTGTTTACTAACTATTTCACGGGAATGGTAAAATCACTGTACTGAATACGGGTTATGGATCAAATTACGTGGCAATTGAAGCATTTTTAAGCGTTCCTTCAAATCTTTAAAAGGTCCGTAAGAATAGCAGCAACAATAGCTTTGTTTCTTTTAGTAATAGCTATATGATAGTCCTACAATTTATAATTTATTGTAAGCTGGCTTGTCTTACAAGGTCATGCCTATCGCCTGTAACTGCGAAAGCGTTAAAGCAAAAAAAAAAAAAACCCTTGTAGAGGCCTTACCCTTTCAGCTAAATTTTTTGATGGGTTTGTCTAAGTTTGAATCTGCTGGAAAAATCTTGCGATCCAAGATGGCGGGCTGTTCTAAAATGATCATTTCCTACTTCTCTTTCCATATTTCTATATTTCTAATATTTTTGGATGTGCTATAAATTCCTTCAAGTTTCATTTTCATAGCCTCAACACTTAAGAGCTACGGGAGGGGGACCTCAAAAGCACCACCCCCGGTACCAGAAAAATCCCGTTCTGAATAGCGTTAAGCCTATTTGAGATAGAATCCTACACCTATCATGATCCTACCAGAAGGAATCTTACGTTTTCACGTTGTTATCTCACTTATAAGTCGAATATGGGAATGTTGAGCATTTAAAGAAAACCTGAGCACTGTAATATAATATTGTCAATACCCACGATCTTTTGAGCCATTTTTTGACTCACGAAATTACCTTCAAAATGTACGAGACCTCATAATAATGGTGTTCTAAAGAGAAGGAGAATCCTAAAGGCAATTAGAAATGGAAACGCTACAAGGGTGTTTAAAGGGACACTACGACGGTCATTATTATTATTATTATTATTGTTATTATTATTATTATTATTTTTGACTGGGATTATTACGGATTGTAACTGACAACCGTCAAAAATTTAGGCTTTGGTAATTTTGAACTCAATGCCGAACCATCAAACTACTGTTTGTGCGTCTGGGATCAAAGTGGTCGATAACCTAAAATTACTGAAGCATTACCAGAAAATTGACCATTTTAAGTTGAAGTTCAATGATTTGTAGCCAAAAACAATAGAAGAAGTGAGTCAAGGATCGAGTTCAAAGGAGTTTACTTAAGAATAACCCGAAAGGGCTAATTGTGATCATGTGACACCAGATTATAGACAACAAAAATAAGGATTGAAAATTTTAGCAACTGGAGGATAGAAATTATAGATAATATTGTTGAACCTTCTGTAAGGGACCAAAAAAACGTTGGGCCCACCAGAGGTAGGACCACAGGGCTTAAAGATCACTGCTTGAAGCTGCTTAAGAAGCTTCATATATACACAAATGCATTAGTAAACCCAGAAACTCTTTGGTCATCGTTCATGAAACTCTTTGTTCAAACACAAAATTTCTTCGTTCATGCAGCGTCACAATGAACCAATACATAGTCACTTGCAAAAACGTGCAAACAAGGTTGTAACGCATCGTCTTGCCCAATTAATCTGAGGTCAGATCACATGAAGTTCTCCCTCAGAAGAGGTAACAAACAACAGAAAATGTCATGTCATCAGGCTTAAATAATGTAAGTGGAGGTCGATTTGCATTACCTGCGTAAGATGGTAGTCGTGACTGGTCAATTAAGGCGATGCCAAAAGGCTGGTTGGATTTCAAACTGACAAGTCCTCCTATGTAATCTGCTGAAGTCCAATTGAGCCTCTCAATACCGTCAGTATTCCAGTCGCTCCAGTAAAGCGTGTCGCTATAGACTGTGAAGTCAAAGGGATTCATGTTTTGTGAAGGGTGAATGTCCCCAGAGAGCAATTGCCTATTCTGCCCATTTAAGTCAGTGGAATCAATCACATCATCGTAGGAGTCAATCCAGTAGACGCGATCTTCAGTATAGTCCTCGAAGACCGCATTTGGCCAGTACTGCGAAGAACTGCTCAGATCAACTAGTGTAGTTCGATTTACACCAGCTAGACTTGCCCGTTCGATTCGTTATTTGATTAGTCAAGAGATTGTTTTTCCCAATAAAAACAAAGAGTGAAAATGACTGAATGAATATGATAATGAATAAAACATTCCATTTCACGCTTCCTTGACTAAAGAGAAAAATGCTTTCAGAGCTATCAAGTAAACTGAGACAGTTGAGCACTGAATTTACAATTTAAGTTCTTTTCTTTAACAAACCAGCATCGAAAAGTTGTCCTGCAAAAACTAATATCTTGTCTCTCTGGGTGATGCAGAAACGTAGACTTTGTTTGCATACTAGCAAGCATGACTCTCCTATCGTTATTGATTCAGTGACTGGCAAGTGATAACAGAAAATGATACAATAGTCAGCAGGAAGCTTATCAAAGTGCAGTAGCTAAAACTGCTCTAGGGGGAAACTATTATTTTACCCTTTTACAGGGCGACAGAATATATCTCCTTCACAGGAACGATTGTGTTTATCGCAACCCAACACAAAGACTGTGACCCTTCTAAACCACAAGCTGTGTAAGGTATTTTGGGAATGTTCATTATTATGTAAACAAAAGAACAAACTCAGGATGGAACGAATTTCAATCACACAGT